ACAACAATACCATTGTTAAAGAATTACGGCAAACAAATTGTAATTCTATCCATATCATGTCAACCAACCCTTAGTTCACCTTGTCGAATTCGTGACTCCCAAAAGAGTCTTACAGTCGAGTAGATTAGATCAACTTCAGCCATTGCTCCATTCGCATACTCACCACCAGCCAGCCTCTTTGTGACAGGTGGGATGAGAGAAATTCCAAGGTCATCAATCAACACAATATGTCGTTCAGTGAAAGAATTGGTCCACGAAAAACTGTTCATAGCAGGTGCAACAAAGAGTTGTTTGCTGAAGTCCCAGGCTCGCACAATGCTTGTCAGCAGATTGTCACAGAGGCCACCAGCAATCTATAATAAGGCATTAAATGAAAATAAATGACTAACAAATGCAATTATTCTACATGTGGATTTGACATCATGCTCAAGGAACGACAAATAGATAATGACACTCTCAAAAGGGAGAATCTTAACGAAGGAAACTCAAACAAGATTAGTTCTTAATGGACATGTTTTCTTCCCCCTATAGAAAGAAATAAAGACAATATTTCACGAAAGCTTTGTAAAAAGTATCTGCATGAAGAACTACAAATTGATATACAATTCATCAAATAGATCTCCATGCACCTGTATTGTAATGTGACTTCGCCAACTGCTCTGGAAAGACAAAAGATACTGCACCACTCAATTCTAAGTCCAGAAGCCACAGGTTGTCTTACCAAGTATAAAAAGAATCCTAAAATAAAACTAGTGAGAACTATACCATCTTAGTGACATGCGCTCCAAAGTCCAAAGAGAAGCATCCCAGTGGGGAACCAATAAAGGAAAAGTTTGGATAGAAGAAAGTGTATTAAACAGAAATAGGAGGCTTTTCTATAGTTTGTTTCTTTAGTATTTGCCATAATAGATTTTTCTTTAATGATTATTTCTTCCCATTCTGATTGTTTTTCTAAGTAGGTTCAAATTTTTCCTGTTTTTATCAGGTTTGTTGCTCATATAATGGGTATCTCTAATTTAGTTTCAAGATGGGGTTCTATAGTTAATACTATTTGAGAATCTAGAATTATTATTGAGATCCAGGTTCTTTTTCTTATTTAATTTTCTTCAGTTTTCCTTCAAGCTCTCTGTCTCACATCACATCCCAATAAGTATATACGTTAAACTAGGTACAAGATATAAGGAAAATATATAGGGAGCTTTCCTGATATATTACCTTGCCAAGTGTATTTGCTGACAAAGGAGCAATAACCATAATATCAGCCCATTTGCGGAGTTCAATATGAAGTACAGGATCACTTATTTTTTTCCAGCTGGACCATTCATCCTCATCAGTATAAAGAATTACTTCTTTTGGTAGAGATGCTCTATCAATAAACTGCAAGGAGGCTTTTGTGGCAACTGCCCTTACTTCTGCCCACCCAAAGAAACAACGACAAAGATTTCCAAACTTCATTGCAGCCACACTTCCACAAGCACCAAGTAAAATCCGAGGGTTCCTGGGAGCGGTGTTGACTTGTATTAGTTCTCTCTCTGCACTCATCGACTCTGAATAAGCCATAACCTATTCAAGATTACAGCAATGCCATCAGTGTCATTGAAACTTGGACACAAAGGTATGAAAAATTGTTCCGCAAGCAGAAAAAAATATGTAAAGATCATCTAATGCACGTTAACAATTCTTGAAACAGCAGTTAAGAGTGATTACACTCTTTTAAGTAGTGACAGACATAAAAAGGCCATTTATGTCAACAAGGAAAAATACTTACAATAATAAAAGCCTAAATGAAAATTATCTGCACAACTTGTGCACTCTTTACTACAGGATTTTCTTTCCTCCACATCTTTGAAATATGTGTGATGCGCATAAGCCTCCGTCAGGTCTCAGGAGTTATCTTAGTGGTCCACTATCAATACGTTCAGATATTATTGACATCACCATGTTCATTAAACCTCGCTCCTTTTCTTGAACTAGTTTACATATTTGACTGCTTTGGGTATACTTTAAGCAATTCAGCATTAAACTGGTTTGATATCTCAAAAAAATATCAAAATGACGTCACAAACCACAGTTCTGTGTCGATACAAGATCCACCTATTTATTGTCTCAGAAGTTATATACCAATCCAAACTAGAAACTCTATTCTAATGGCTTATTTTGTTGAACAAGATGTACAGTTGTACTCATAATTCAGTTCATTTGAGATGAAATTAACTTCTTTAACACACCAAGCTAACTGCTGAGGAGTTGTTACTTTCCGTTTTATGGGAAAACATTTATCCATGTCATCTAGACATCTCATAAGATATTTAAGGTCTCAACTAAGCTTCTTAAAAAATGAAAAGGAATAAATAATACTCATAAAGCATGCTGAGCATCTTCAAGATCAACTGAGACAAAAAAATGCATGTAAGATGTGATAAATCCATGTAAAAAACATACTTTAAGCACCCAAAAAAAAATGCACGCTGAACATCATTAAATAAACATATTATTTAAAGTGCGCTGAATATTTAATCCAGTTACTGCACAAAAATACATAAGATGACTGTGATAATTCCATGAAAGAAACATACTCTAAACACACAAAAAAAACTTGGATATTTCCGACTCATCATATAATCCATGATGAAGAAAATGCATATATCATTTTTCAAGTCCTAGCATAACCGTAAGAAAAGGAAGAGAATATAGGGGCTTGCAGTATCATTCATTACAAAATAACCATTTTAAAATGACAAATTTAGGAGAGAAACACAATCACCAACAAGTATTAGCCCAGAGGATCAATATTATCTCTAATAATATCCTATCAAAAATTCCTAATTCTCATTAGAATAAGCAGAACCATGCACAAATGTCAGCCATATAGCCCAATTACTACAAGACCAAGTTTCAGGAATACAATAGCAGCGCTAATCACAATTTTTTACATCAAAACCTGCTACAAAATCTTGTTAAGGTGAGAATAAGTTGGTTTTGTCAAAAGATTATATATGTGTGTATATATGTATGTATGAATACATATTATACGATATTGCTAAGATTTGCCATATCTAGACAAAAGAAGCTCCGAATCAAGAATCATGCTTCAACAACATTTCCTCTGCTAGTCCAGAAAATTCGGAGAGAAAGAATAAAAATAATAAGAAGACTCCATCTCAAGCCATACATTAGGTATGCATCGACGTGTACATGGAGGTACATATGTGTTTTTGTACGATTCAAGTCTGAAAAAGGATGCCTTCCTTGAACTTTTCAGCCCTGGAAAACTCAGTGGACCGAAGACATAAAACCTCAATTTTCTGCTTCCATTTCCCATAACTATTCGCTTGTTCTCCACAACCAAACGGCCCGAAAAAGTCAATTTTCGTATACACAACAACAATGCACTTCATATTTCTACGTCATGACATCTTGTAGCCTTACGTTTTAATAACCATAACAAAAAAACCTAGAAGTTGCAGTAAAGAGAGAAAGTTATCGGACACTTACTTCTTTCGTGATGGAGCGCGTGCAAATGATTTGAATCGTCTTAGGGCTCTGCTTTTGGGAGAAGATAGTGGTTAGTTGCAGGAAGGGAGGATGGAACCCAAGAAATGGTTCATCTTCCTCGTTCCTCTCTCTCGAAAACTTGTGAAGAGCAGCGCTGCATCCAGATTTGATGGTCTGTTCAGTTCCCCCCAAAGTCCCGCCGTCTTCTTCACGATAAAATGTAACGTTTCCGTCTTTTTTTATCCCTGGTATTGGTAACTTCTTGGAGCGGGAATAATGGGCTTAAATTTATTTTTGGGTCATGATATTTTTGTTTTTTTAATTCTCTTGTAATTAAAGCCTAACATTTAGAACTTCGCTTAAATTCGCATTTACCTTCAAACTACACTGTATATTTCTAACTGTAAAAATTTAGATAATGTATTATGATCGAGTTACCAAATAACTCATTTAATTTAAAAGATTAGGTTTATTTTTTACTGTTTCGTAGTAATAATTTTAAATAAATGAGGAGATTACATGAAATTAATGGGTAAGTAATAAATAAAAAAAATAAATAAGCATCAGCCTCCTTTCTCATTTTTTCTTTATTTTTTAATTTTACTTTATTACACAATTTTGAGAATTTTAATTTGATTTTTTCTGAAAATGACAGCAGGTTCAACTCTCAAGTAAAGTATAAAAATATTATAATTAGGATGATTGACATCTTCGATCATTGGCTTCATGTAACATAATGATATTTATAGAACGAAAAAAACATGCAAATGAACATTTGGAGATTAATTATAGAGTTTTCATATTTTGTTTTATTTACTTTAGCTTTATGTCAAAGTAAAATTTTGACATTATGACACACGTTTTTGTTTGTTCAATCATCAACAATCTTAACTAACATAATTTTCAACAAGTTCATGTGTTCAATATTGTTGGTTTTCTTTGTCCACATTGTCATTAATATTATCACCATTCTTCTCTGTGCATTTGACTATTTGACGATCTATTATTAGTTAGATATTTTCTTTAGTTTAAATATTATGTTGGCTTCTACTTCATGTGTTGTCGGTTTTTTGCTTATATTTGTATGATTGTGTTAGTGTTTTATCTATTCATTGATTCTAGATCTTTATTTCTTATGTTGCTCTTATAATAATGATTGTCTTAGTCATTTATGATTTGTCTTTAATTATTGAAATTTCTTATAGGCATCTTTTCATATGAAACACTAAATTTAACTTTCAAAAATNNNNTTTTACTTGGGTAATCTAAAATTAACTATAATTGTTAGAGGTGTATCCATTATATGTTTATTAGGTGATAGATGCATGCATACTAAATAGGTGTGTCCCTATCACTAGTAAATTCTAAATTGATATTCTTTTATTATATCATTTGTTCTCCTCAAACTCTTTTTATCACGAAATTTGACTTTACATATATGTTCAATTTGTTTAGAGAAACCTACAAATATGTTAGCTTATAATATATTACTATAATGAGATTGGGTATACCTAATTTCAAGCTCAAATAAGCTTGGGACATCTAACAAAAGGCATGTGACATACCAAGCCATGCGACAAGCATGGGTAGCTAGTTAATAAGAGTCTTTTTCTTGTATGGGGTAGCATGTTAGCAATTGCCAAATATCGTGGTGTCACTCACATTTATTATAAGTTGTTTATGGTATTTAGAACTATTTTTTTACATGAATTCCCCAGTTAATAATATGTATAATATAATATTTAATATACCAAAATAACTCTGTAAGATAATGTCATATTCGTTAATGATTGAAATTTAAAATATTTTTAAATAAATATTTTCAAAAAGTATACAGTCAACGTTAGAAATTTGTTCTCATTAGCATAATGAATGATAAATTTATCTATAATTTTAAACGATAAATTAATTATTTGTTATACCTTGATATCTTTTAAGTAGAGACATTCTTGAGATATTGATAGTTTACTGAAATTTTTTTATTTATATTATATTTTTTTAGTTAATTTAAACTATAGTTTTATAAATTTTAAGAGTTAAAGTATGTAAATCTTTTTTAAAACAATCCATTAACAAATTTTTAGGTAATTTTGAACTCTCTTCAAATAAATATTTTTTATTATTAACAAGAGATAATATACGATTGTAAGAGGTAAAGTATTTTATGAACTATCTTATTTTTATATTTAATTTTATTCACTATTTATTATTATATTTTGTTACTTTATTTTATAATAGTTTGTTTTCTTATTTTACTATTTTTCTACTTATTTTAGAAAATAGCCCATGAATAATCAATTCTCTCAGGAATTAGTATCTCTCTTGTTTACTTAAAAGCATAGGTGCTCAGCATTAATATTGTGTATCAGTGTTTCAGATAAAAAATTTATTTATATACTAATTATAGATATAATTAAAAAAATAGAGCAACTGATGTAAATATGTTAATATATAGTTGTACACTCTTTTAGGAGTGTTTGTTTACTTGTATTTTCACCATGTCTCTCTCTAATATCCCTTTATTACATCAACTCCTTTTTTCAATTCTCTTTTATTATTTTTTCTTAGAAAATACAGTCAAGTGAGAAATCTCATAAGATTTATATTTGAAAAATGTGTTAAGAGGTTTTTTTTAACATTTGAGGTCGGTTCTCTAACCTTTTGATGTGCTATAGACAATTTTACCACACATCTCAATTCATTATTCTATATTTACTTTATAAATTATTTATTTTGTTAAACTATTCGTTGAAATTATTCTTAAAGGTAGTGTCTTTTATTATAATAAAGGGAGGAACGGGAAAAAATGGCAAAAATGTTCGATTACGAGGGAGGGGGGAGAGAGTGAATAAACGTTATATTATAGTATGGTTAAATAAGATAAAATTATAAATGTTATATTAGAGAGAGAAAAAACATTATATTATAGTATAGTTAAATAAAATAAAAATTAAGATGTACAAAATTCATTATAAATCAAACAAATCTAAATAACTGAGCTGATTAATTAAAACATCTCGAAATAATTTGTTCAATTTACAAGGTTTTGAGTAAAAAATATTTTAGTTTCTTGTTTTAATTTTTCAATTATAAAATTTATAACTGAATCGACAAAAAATAATTATTTTATGATATTATCATATCTCAAATTTGTCTATCATATATAAAATTAATAAATGTACTTGGGTTAAACTAGAGTATTTTATTTAACCATTCATTGTTATTAATCTTATTAATATTGTTATTAATCATGTTAAAACCAATCAAGAAAAGGGAATGCATAAATGAAAAAAAAAA